CACAAATAAATATTTACTAATAATAATAATAATAAAAATAATGATATTAATATAAATAAGCAATAATAATGGCAATAATAAATCAATAAATAATCCCAAATAATTCTAATTTAAACGGGGTATTACAGGCTTAATGAGTTGTAACCGACATGTCACAACCGACATGTTGTAACTGATATGAGATGTCGGTTTAGTTGATGAGGATGTCGGTTCTTAATCTGTCTGTGTCCGATATGTGAGTACTTCGGAATTCATGAGCATGTCACTCCTTTAAGAGAATACAATCTCCTGATTATTGAGCACTAACAACCAACAAGTAATAACAACATGGTTTATCGAAAACCATATCAACAAATAAAATATTAAGAATAATAATACAATAAGGAAACCAAATAGCTAGGGGATCTAATGCCTTGGCTTGCACCCCAAGTAGTCTTATCTTGCACTCCAAGTAGAAGACTCCTAGCCGCCCTCGCCATCCGCCACCTAGGCTTTCCCGCCACCTCACGCTCCCTTGCCTCAGCCCTCGAGGACTAAGGTCGCACCGCCTTCGACCGCCTGTCCTTTTGCCTCGAGGATTAAGGCCTCGTGCCCTGCGTGCGTCATTCCTATTCCTTGATGGATCATTCCTTGGGCCCGCATCCACTTTGCCTATTCCTACTAGGAATATGCTCCCGGCTATGTTGCCTAATCTTCCGAGGATTACTCTCGTCACCGACCTTCCAGATGCGTTCCGGCACTCAGCTGCTTTTCCTAGTCCTGCGGGGTCTAGTATTCGCGCCTTGCCTATTCCTATGAGGACTAGGATTTCTGCCCTGGTCTTGCCTCGCCCTTCGAGAGTGCACGTGATCGCACCCTTTTCTCGCGTGACCAACTCGTGCGTGTCGCCCAATACCCCGCGCACCACACCTTGCTCGTTCGTGCATTGTGCCGCGCCCAGCCACTCGCGCCTTCGCCCACTCGCGGCCGTCCCATGTGCGCGCTATCCACCCAACATCCACCCCTCGCGCACTGCTCGTCTCTTCAGCAATGTAAACGCCTGAGGCCTTAGCCTCTAAGTGTCGTGCGCGTTGCTCCCTCGCGCATGCCTTGCACCAGTAAACCGCATCGCCTGAGCCCGCTGTTGTACACTTGACCTCGGTCCACTGCGCGTAGTCCTCCCTCAAGTGCCCTAAGCCTTGCACGTCGTATGTGCACTGGCCGTAGTGCGATGCTCGTGCTCGACCCCTCGAAAGTCGACCCACTGCTCGACCTACTAGAGCGTCGATCTGCTGCAGCTTCGACCCTCCCGCATTTGGCCGTGCTAGCGTCGACCTCAACCCTTCAAGCCTCGATCTTTCGGGCTTCTTGCCTAACCTCCTTATCGTGGTAGACCCTTGCATGCTTGACCTCATATGCCATTGTGCACATCAGCACCCTCGTATACGGGCTCGTGCACGTCTCCTAGGCCATGCAAGCCTTGTTACAGCCCTTTGCTCGGCCTTCTTAGATAGTGTCGGCCTTCGTCCTTTCTCGCC